ATTACCAGAAGGCGAAATGCGTAGAACGAGGATCGATTCGAGGAGAATACGTGAATTCAGCGTGCGCGATACGTTTCACGTGATACGATGTTTATCGTACGACGTATGCTAATTCACCGATCGGAAGTAGAGAGAACTGGTCGAAACGTTCGCGAACGCCTACGCCTTTGCGGCGTCGAGTCGCGGCCGCGAAATCGCGTTCCCGGTCTCGCGGGACGAGAGTATCTCGTCCTAAGAGCGGAGAACGTCGAGCTTCTCGGAGCCGCTTCACGAGCGGTGAGAGTACATCCGACGATAGAAGCACAAGGTGGTGGCGTTTGCAATCAACCGGCAAACAACGAGGATCGAGAGTAGGTGTCCGAGTGGCGAGCAACGACTACTGGTGTAGTATTCCGGAGATGCTTTCCGTGGTTTACACTTGCCAGATGGAACGGCGGCCAGCTACCAGCTACCATACTCCGTTCAGAACCGGTTCCAATACGTTGGCAACAGTACGTCTTCTAACGAGGAGGAGCTGCGCGCCGCGCTCTCGTTGAACTTTCAATATCCGTCCGTTGTGATCGTCCGTACACGCCCCTCGGTATATACGCTCCGGATATTTGTCAGGACTCTCCGGAGATTTGCTATCCGGCAGATTTCACTGCCACACAGCCGGCAGGTATTTCAGAGCGAGAGACGCCGAGAGCAGGTATACGCGCGTATACGACGTGGCGTCGCGAGGGCTGCCGGTAGTTGGCAGGTATCTTCATCTGTCCAGGTGTCTGTCACTTTGTTTCCACCACATGCGAGCGGGTTGCTCGCGCTTGGCTCGGCTCGGCTCGGCTCGGCTCGGCTCGGCTCACTCTGCTATTCTCTGCTCGCTGCTATCTGTCCTTTATGGTAGCGTAACGAACGACGTCTCGCCGAACGATGGCAGCAGTCGCTAATTAGAATCTTCTAGCAGCTAGGCTAGCCGATAGTTCCTCAGCCCCGCTGTTAACCGGACGGGGGACGCGCGGATGTGGATATACGAGCGTGTAAATATTGCGCGACACCGCCGCGGAACGTTTAGACTAATTAAATCGGGGACGATATTTAATCGGAGTATGCGCAGCTAATTGGATTTCGTGTCGGTTGGTCATCGGTCCCTGCCCGGGCACCCGCCACCGCCGCACGATTTATTCTCCGTTACTCGTGGATAACCTAAGTATCTCGTTCCTCCAATCCGGCTGAATTTATAGCCACACCCTGCCAGTTTCGAGACAGGTACCGGCCGTCAGGTTTCGTCCCTTCTGCTTTCAGCTTTCTGCTTTCGTCGACACGCAGTTCTCTCCCTCGTCCCGATCGAGAACGAAATCCCGCGATTCCTTTCGAAAATCGATGCATATTCCCCCGAGCACCCGAGATACATCGGCGCGCCGATTACGCGCGAAACAAGCCATCATCCGTGGCGGTCGTTTATCGTCGCGACGATCTCGACCGTGCTACACAGTCGAACGGATATTCACTCATCGATCTCGCTTCCTCCATCCCTCTCCTCCTCGTCGTCAGTCGCCAGAAAGAGTCGGCGCTCGCTTTCGATTTTTTACAACGATTATCTGTCACCTCGCGCGAACGATCGGTCTTTTCCACCGGGGCAATTTCGTATAACGCGCGAAAGAATACGCGGAGGACTCGGAGGAGAGACGGACGGACGGAGGAGAGAACTCGATTCAGAACCGGTTCCTAGCCTCTCGCGTCGATGCAACGACACGACGCATTTCTTTCCGCAGCCATCGGGCTACTTTCGTTTTCACGGCATCCCTGATAGCTTTGACACGAAACGAGCGCGCGGAATGCGCGTCCGTGCGACTCCCAGAACGGGGCAGAGGCGTGCGTAGGCTTCGCGCCAAACTCGCCGAAACGATCCCGGGCCGATGCGTCGTCTCTCGCCTTCTGTCCTTAAACTGCCTCGTTCTCGCGTTCTCCGCCTCTCTTCACACCGTCAAATTACCTCGCCGGTCCCACCGATTCGACTTCCGATCGAGTTTCTCAACAAGTTAAATCCACCGTCACTGAAAAAAAATCTCCTCCCGTGCGAGCACTTTAAACCTGCCACAGGCTCGCTCGACACCTTTACACGCGTCGTTCGATACCTAATATATTCGATACCGCTGTATTTTTATCGCGCGAGTATTCCCGCGCAAGTGTGACGCGTCGTTTATTATAACAACCACGCACGTACAATCGTTAACGAGAAAAATCTCGCCAAGACGCAGGCGATTCGATTCGATTTGAACGACGTTGCGATATGCGCAACGAAAAATCGGTAGTTAATAAACGATGGTTACTTTTTTGGCTTGCGAGCGGTGTCCTCGTGTCGACGGAATGAGAAGACCCATCCGCCCATTGGATCCGAATCGGCGCTAAAAAGAAAAAAAAAAAAAAAACCCTAATTAATTAACCGCGTATAAACGCGCGAACATTCGCGTTCCAGACGGCTCGTAACCGCTCGGAATAAAGCGTAATAACCAGGGCCGTTCTCCGTCCGCACGCCAGCTGGTTATAATTTCTCGTTTGACGATCTGGTCCTCGCGTCCGATCTCCTGCGCGAGCCACAACGCCATTGCAGCCTTCCTCCTTCAGCTTCTTCCCGCACGCACAGGAAGCGGTTCTTTAATATCGTCGTTCGATCGTAAACTATCGTGGTCCGCCGCGTCTCGCAATTGCAATTATTCCCCTAGCCCGTGATTCCTCTTCGGAATTCATTTCTCGCAATTACCGATTCGCCGGGCTGGTTGCGTGAAAAGTTAGCCTCCACGTAACAGCCGATCGTCGCAAAAAACCGATCGCTTCGCAAACGCGATCGGCTCCATTCCTCGCTCGTCGTCTCTGCTCCTCTCTTCTCGCATCCTCCAAGTACTCAACCCCATCGTAGCCTCAATCTCAACCTCTGTCGCAAAGATACGATCGGCGTCGGAGGTTTAAAGCGAGGCTCGCCCCGGCGAAAAATGGATCGCTCTCAATACCGTGATCGTAAATCGTCGCCTGTTTCGCCGGGGCGAGAGCGTGCGAGAGTGGCACGAAACGGAACGTCGCCGAGATTAGCCGCCAATAAAATCACCGAGGAAGTCGCGAACCACCGGTCCGGCCGTGTCCTTCGAGGAATTACGAGGGTATTCGCACCTCCGGTTGATTAATCGGCGCGATTTCAACCGGCAGATGCTTCTCGCTCTCTCTCTCTCTCTCTCTCTCTC